GGGTAATCGTACACTATACCCAGAAAAGTTAAATTTTAGTGCCATTGTGCAACGCAACGTCAGTAGGACAGAGTTTAAAGAGGACATATTATCCCCCTTTTCCACCTTTTCAAACAGTCTCCTGTGGTCTAAATGAAACATCTGTGCTGTGCTTTGGTCAAAATATAACATGAATCAAGCACCAGAGGAGGTTTGTGACCCTGTATAAACCAGCTCTCTCAGAACGCTCAGTTTTGGTGTGTGTGTCTCTTTAAATGCTATGACCCCCCCCTGAGTTTTCCCGGTAGACATCAATCCTTCACTAGCGAGAATAAAAATGGTGGACGTGCGCACATTTTTTTTCTTCTAGGCTGGGGGTGGAGTCCATGGGTGGATCAGGAGAGGGGAAATAAATGTTCAAAAACACTGGCAAATTGGATTTTTCAGAATATGTCCCCTTTAAGTGATTTGCTAGCAGAAGTGAATCCAAAATCCTTTCTTCTGTGCAGTGCATGGGCAGCTCCTAACAGGGTCTGGCTTCAGCCCCACACAAACACATTCTACTGATCTTTAATTAAGTCCATTTTGACCTTTTGTCTTATCTCATGGTATGGCAACCTTTCAGTGCACAACAACAAAAGTCGTCTGTCAGTATTGCTATACAGTCAATAAAAATAATTGGCACTTTCCTTGTCAGATATCTGAAACAGACAAATTGTGAGGAGAGCAAAGTCAATCTTGGCCAACTCTGACCATCCTCTCTTGGAGGAATTTATTATTCTTTGTTACAGTCTGCCCAGGGCCGCAGATACAAACTTTGGTATATTCCTTGCGCAATTAATGCTTTTAATATTGTTTAAATCAGGACTGCACTTTCAAGCAGCACTATCAAATTTCCCTTCCAGGGACAATAAATGTCTGGAATGAACTGAAGTGATCCAACTATCTTCAGCATATAATGATCATATGGTGAACATGTGAGCAAACAGTGATTTATTACACATCCAGCATGAAGAGATCAAAGTTACTTTTTACTTGGAGTCGTTTGTCTTACAATTTCATTACATATAAGTTCAGTATTTCCACTTCTGTCAGCTTCATTTTAGGGCATCATTATCTCCATGGACATTTATTTATAGACATAACTAGAGGTATGGCTGATATGAAACTGTTTGCTGTGAATCTAAAGGTCCTCTTTAAATCCACCTCTTTACATGTTTGTAGGTTGACCTACAGGCAGACAGTGTTTCCAATATGGTGACCGCCATATTTGGGCTTCAAAATTCCACTGCCGTAACCAATGGGTGACATCACTGAGACGACATCCATGTTTTATAAAGTCTATGGGTTTGCCTCAATGCGCAACCCACTTTCACTTTTCATGAAGTGTTCTTTATTCATTGTTAATAAAAAAAAGATTTACGGAGCAGCTGTAAGATTTGTGCCTATTAGAGGAACTTGTTCATAATAATGTTCAGTGTCTTCTGTCATCCTCCTGCCTCTATACAGATCTAACTGCTAACTTGTGGTTAGGATCAGCCTCCTGCCTGGCACCTTCATTTTATAAAGTCTATGGGTTTGCCTCAATGCGCAACCCACTTTCACTTTTCATGAAGTGTTCTTTATTCATTGTTAATAAAAAAAAGATTTACGGAGCAGCTGTAAGATTTGTGCCTTTAGAGGAAATTGTTCATAATAATGTTCAGTGTCTTCTGTCATCCTCCTGCCTCTATACAGATCTAACTGCTAACTTGTGGTTAGGATCAGCCTCCTGCCTGGCACCTTCATGTCTTTGCCTGCTGGGCGAACATCCAGCCTCCCAGCTCTCTGGTCTGCATCACAGACCAGAACGAATCTCTTCCTCAATAACAGGTAAAAGTAGGCCATGCTGTTTCTTACACCCACAAACATGAATACACAAATGCAGTAATGCACATGCAATAGTTATGTAAAATATGAAGTTTTAATCCACTTAATTTATAATCCATCCTGTCTACATGCACGCACACACACACATCGAGACAGATATAAAAACTCTCACGCACCCTTTCTGCAGTGCTTCCCGTGTGGACAACAAACCCACGGGAGACTTTAAAATAAAAAGCCACATTTTTATTCTGCCCTGAAGAGAAGGTGGCCCTCTTGGTTTGCATCCAACCTCCCATTCCTCCACCATCAATTAATCAGCAGATGTATTTTTAAAACAACTTGTGCTAGAACTTGATGGACTGTTTAAAAATGCATTGAGCACCAGAAGCGGAGCAGCTGCAGCAGCAGCTCAGCCGAGGAGGTTGCTTGTGGTGGCAGCAACAAAGAAACAGCAGCGGCAACAAACGTTAAGACAACGAGAAAGGAGGGGGACACAAAGGTGAGATGCAGGGAGGGAAAGCACGCAGAGGGGTAATGAAAGGAAAACATGAGGGGAGAAGGAGAGGGGGAAATGGTAGAGACAGGCAGGTGAGGTGCAAAGAAATGCAGAAAAAAAGCAGCAGCGCAAAGGGAGGAAGAGACGCTTGAGTGTATCCAAGTGCGTGTGAACATAAGAGAGTGGCAGGGTATTTTTGGAGAGCTATTATTGGTACTTGAGATATCCTTGGGGCTGAATGGGGAAGAGGGAGGATAGATGGATGCAAAATCAAATCCAATTTGAGTGTAATGACTGGTCACATAAGGACAAACCTACAATACCTGGGGCCTTTTATGTACCGCAAGACAACAGCCAGACTTTACACGCTAATGCTAATATCTTTCATATAGTAACACTCCAGAAACTTTAGAATAAAACCCTTTATCCCAAGAGCCATCCGTGCACTCTGAAGCTCTTTCCTCTCAACAGATTTCTACATTATTTTTTTAAAATGGCGAGCATCCAGCCACCAGGCTTTGTGTTTGAGGACAGCTTTGGATCACTGTTGGCGGCCTGTGCGAGTATTTGAAGGGAGCGAATCCCCCGGTTCCATCAGATCTCATCGCGCAGGTTTCTTCCATCTGTTTCCCTGCTAAAGATGGACTTCTGACGCAGCACTCCAGGTGCACTGTGGGTTGTGTGCACAAGTGTAAACACACACACACTTCAACAACACACACTGGCAGAGACCCACATGGACCTGCTCACTTGTACAGACAACAGAAAGGCTCGCAAAGGCGCTCACACAATGAGACGCTCGTACTACTCATGCCACCAACTGTGATGTCCAACTCTATGTTTCTGTCCAGCCAAGAATAACAAGCATTATACAGTACAATAGAGGTGACTGTAGTATTATAGCAGCAGCTTGCTGTAACTGAAGAAGTAGCAAGCATGGTTTAATGCCTAACGTTTTCAATCATTAATTGCTGTAAATAGAGTGCCCAATACTTATCCCATTAACTTGCATATATTCACACACTCACAAGTGGAAAAGACACTTCGACAGAGTCCCTTCTGGCTGATCTGATAACAAGTGGATAGCCCTAAACTCTAGGATAAAAAACACACCTACTGTATGTGTCCTAAAAACAGATTGAAATCCGACTTTTTGGTTCATGTGGATGAAAGACAACAACTCCCAGAATGCACAGCGCCGCAGGCCACTCCCACTGAAGCTAGGGCGCTCTATTTACAGACATATTTATTCAACACAGAAGGCCATTTCCTCAACTGGTTCCGAGATTTCTTTCAGAAGGAATTGTCATCTTGGAAATTCCTGGCAGCAAACGCACTCTATGTCCATAGGCAAACAGTGAGAGCACCGACACCACCAGTGTAGTGGCAACTTAACTCAAACACAAATCCTCTTGCCACTTCTTGCAGGACTAGAAGTTTCTGACTCGTAGGCTACTTTCCAAAAGACACATTTTTATGTAATCCAAAGATGAAAGGAGGCAGATTTAAAGTGACAAAAAAAAAGACGATTTATTCCTCAAAAAAGAATTGCAGGTTTCAAAATAAGCTCTTATATTTATTCACCTGTACCCACATGGCAATTTACGCCAATTAGCTGCGCTTTACGACAGCAGGAACACTTTGCAGCAGCAGGACACGAAACTGAGCACTTATCACCACACAGACCTACTATAAACACAATGTTTCGATACGTGATAAAATAAAAAATGTAAATTAATTCTAAAATTCAAAAGCAAAAACTCTATTAATTATAAACGTATAAATACAAAATTATTCTAATGGCAAATTATATCTTTATATTAACCTGTTGTCCTCATAAGGGGGTCTTTACAAATGTACAGGCACTTATTTGCATGTGAGGCAGGCAAAAGAGTTCTGATCTCAAGCACTCAATGGAGACACATTGTTAATGCAAAGTGCAAACATCAATATTTAAGTGCTCTTCACTTGTTATCAGATCACCCAGCAGGGATAATGCAAGGTGTACATGAGGCGGTTTAGACAATAGACTGGGGATCAAACCGCCAACCTTTTGATCCAGAAACAACTTACTATACTACTACGCCTGATGTCAACACACTGTACCTCCTGGGTGAGCTGAACACAGATGGACAGACTAGAGCCCAGGTGTAAACTCCATGCTCAGTAACAGCAGACCGTTTCCGGCTTCGGCACGGTACAGTTCATGCACGAGTACAAGCAAGAAATCCAGAGTGTTCTGGCTGTATCTGAAATGCAGGTCATTAGAATAGAAAGGGAGTCATCTGCCCAAATCTTTGCATAATGCTTCAGTAAAATAAAATGTATATTCAAATGGTGTAAATTGACATACTTACTGTAGCACTGTCCACGTGTGATTGAATCACCATGTGTTCAAACCCGGTGTGAACAGGTAAACAGTGTAAATTGTGGAAGTTCTCATGTTAACTATGTGTAGCTGATAAAGTGTCTTTGCTGTGCCTTGAGTTCTGGGACCTTCACTTTAGAACCACACTTGCTGAAACCACCAGTAACTATCAGAGTTACTAAATCAGGACTGATAACTCAAGGCATTAAAGTGAACAAAGACACAACTGAACAACTAGCAGACTGACTGAGTAGAAAGTGGGCGATGATTATCTGGAGGAAGACTTACTGGGAAGTAGAGCAGTAAAGCCCCGAACAAGATGGCTTCCAGGAGAATGAGACCAGATGTTCGGATGCTCTGTTAATGAGAAAAAGGGATAGAAGAATAAAGACATCAATCAACCAAAATGATCATACAGAGAGAATGTGTTGGATGTATTGTTTGGAGTCCCTTTTAACGGTAATTCATGTGTTTTTAATCAAATGTATGATACATTAAAAAAGAGGGGGCCGGTGTTTCCACCTGTTGCTGTAAATCTGATCTGACATCACATTTACTTTATGCAAAGTATTGTGGAGCAGTTGTAGCTGCAGCGTCTTCACCACTGCAGGCAAATGCAAATTTTAAAGCATGGCTGTTTTTGTTTTTAGCAAAACAATCACAAAGAGACGTAAAATATATATATATTTTATGGATTTCTTTCCCCAGTAAAAGGAATATGGGTGACTTCAGCATTTTGTGTGTTGGATTTAATTACCCACATTATCTCCTGGAAGATTTTTTTATGCAAATTCGAAGCGCTCCGGGGACATTTCTTGTGAACTGATGAAACACTGGAGATATTGAGGCTACAACACAATTATCTATAAATAACACACAGGGGAGAAATCCAGCTCAACTCTGCCTCAGGATTGGCTGTAATTATCCAACACTTTGAGAAGCTCATATTTCTTTCACTTTATTCTTTTAGCAAAGTCGAAATTAAGACGTAACTTTCTGCTTTATATCTGTGCGGACTCCTTTGGTGGATGATCATTAAGTAAATCTGCATTAAGGAGTAAAAACAACGAAAGATAAGACACATTGTCTCTAATTTAGCTCAACTTTCTGAGGGTGTCCTCTTAAAAAATGTATGTGTTGGGAAATATAAATGTTTAATCATCTACAATATTCAGATTTTACATCAATTTACTCTTTAAGATAGCGTACAGAGGGACTGTACAGGTGGACTCCTTTTTAAAAGCCTTGTAGATTATAGTAAATTGTAACAGTTTGGCATTCATCAAACACTCCCACATGCTCCCCCAAGTAAAAAAAACAAAAAAGAGCAATCAGTACTTACACTTGCACCCCCACAAAGTTTGGTGAGTCAAGAGTGAATTTTTATTTTTAATGTCCAAATCTAAGCAGCAGATTTTCTGATTTGAAGTCCTTAGTCTTAATCATGCTCACTAAAGCATGATGCAACTGCTTACATAATGCAGCTCAATCGTGGCTCTTTTTATGCTGCCATGTCTTATGTGCAGAGTCAGCATTCCTCACTTTCAGTCTAAATCCGTCTCAGTGAAACTTCTCAGGAAAAACATGGACACCTGTTTGTATGGAGAGACTCTAAACTTTATCTACTGAGCAAGCTGCGGCAGATTGAAGAGATTTAAATGTGACAGGAGGCTAAGGCTAAACCTTCCACGCTAACAAAGACTTTTATTGACCACTATCGACTAAATGAGTAACTACAGTTTCCACAACAAACTCAATGGAAAGTAGAGGGTAAAGGGTGGTAAAAACAATAGCTCTGCTTTATGTTGATTGTGTGCGTTATCACATTAGGCTGACATGAGGTGTTTTTTATGTCAGCAATCTCACAGGTAAGACCTGGATTTCAAACTTAAATGATCGCTCCATCGGACGTTTCTGTATCAGAAGACTTTTAGGTTAACTGATTGCTGCATTTGCGAGGATACCATAAGGGGGTTTCTGTTAAATAATATTTGTGTAAGCATCAAGGAATGATGTGATGCTGTGTTTATGATATGGGTGATAAGATGATAACTGAGCAGAGCTTTATCAAACAAGTCTATGGCCTCAATACTGCAGGTTGTGGCCTGGTTTTGTAATATTGTACAAATGGGTGAGGATGAAGAACGTTTGATTTTCAAACATGGTCTGTAAATGTTCATGTGCACTGCATTACTGTTTACTGTGAACATGAAAAAAGGGGGTAGTTATACGCAGGGCAGTGCAAAATCAGCGGACTGTGGAAGGAGATAGGCCCGCAAACTTACTCAAATGCCACAAAAAGTTCGATCATAGGTCTTCTTCAGGTGATCATGTTTTACCAAAAAATGATCAGGATTAAATGAGGGTGGCTTGTTATTCCTCTAAAACAGGAAAATATGCTTTAATTACTCCATCAGTGTTAAAGTTTTAGACCCTCTTTACCTGAAAGAAGTCCAACCTTCCAAACCCCAAACTCTGTTTCATACGCAGACAGTCTGTTAACATTTTGCCAAACAGAAGATAAGTCCTGAGCACACTGCAGAGACCAAGCAGACCCTAAAACTGTTTTTAAATGTTTGCTAATAATTCTTATAATGATAAACGCCTTATGAGGAAGTTTAAGGTCATTATGTGTTTAATTTCTGGAGTTTATTTTGAACTCATTTTCTTTGCCTCCAACAGGTGACCTCCCTGTCCCTGAGAGCCTCACCTTGTTCTTCCTGAAGTGGTAGACCAACACCATGCTGGCCAGGTCCAGCACCATGCACAACCCCTGGAAGGAGGCCACAGCGAGGCGCAGAGCTCCGTCCTCCTGCACCAGACAGGGCGTGTCGTCCCGGCAGTATGGACAGCCTTCACGACACGGCAGACACTTACTGGACACGTCAGAAGTCTCGTCTCTGTTCGAGCCCAACTCCTTACCTGATGAAGGGGGGAGAGGAGAATCAGATATTTAATGTTTGGTTATTTAAAAACACTGCATGCTCCTGCAGAGCTTAAATATTTGTGAATTTCTAAAGCTTTTTGATTAATTTTCATTTGATTGCAACTCAGAGGAAAAGGTTGATTCAGATGAGGGTTTTCAAGGATTATCAATGTAACTAATTTGCGTTTATCTGTCACCCCGACTCCTTATTAAATACTCAGTTAATCATTTTGAAGGAGTCTAATACATCACAAAGCCTCGGGGGTGATAATTACCAGAATGCCGCCTTTAATTAGGCAGATGAGGGAATAATAACGGAGTGGAGAATTAAATATTGTGACACAATTCCCTTCATCACTGCAGTCTGTGTTATTGTTGTTATATCAGCATGTGGCACACTTGGAAACCTGGGCCAAGATTACTATTTTTTTCCCCCCTCATTCATGTGAGTATATCTGTGTGTTCTGTCTGACGCCTTTGAAACCTTAAAAATGATCCATTATCTGTGAAAATATGACACACAAGGTTGATATATAATCTATACTCTGCTACGTGTCTTTAGTATTCAGTCTCAATCTTCATGTTCAATCCTCTTTTTCTTTTCAGCGCAGCATCTTCTCGTGCAGCTCTTCTTGCAAATGATGCTTGATAAGCACATTACTCCTCTGAGGGCTCCGAACAGAATGCAAACACTGAGATGTCGTTGTTCAGTGCTTCGGCGGAGCGTGATGGCAAAAGAAGATGCATAAAAAGTTAGAATAACAGTTTGACAAGCTGACAGGTACATTAATTAAATCCATGGAACAATCTCGTGGGCACTGATGTTTTTCTAGTTAGTAGGCAGTTCAGATGGGTTGGTTTCATATGAAGGAAAGTGAAACAAGAAGCAGTTGAACAAAAGCCTTTAGAACTCCCTTGCTCGATCATCACATGAGCACTTTTCAGACGGCCCCTTCAACACTTGTGTTTCTACCTACTATCAAGTCTTCAAAGGTGCCAGACTCCAGTATCAGATAATGAGGCACATCCCTCATCTGTTCGAGACTCCGTTCGAGCTTCTTGTCTTTTCTTAAGCAATCCTTCACAGCTCAAATAATGTCGAACGGAATGAAGTTATTCAAGATGGAATATTCATGCAAAGATCTTTCAGAGTGCATTATCTGCACGTATCATAATATTGTCTTAGTGGACACCCTTACAACCTTAATGATTAATCGAGAATGCATAGTCAGAGGATAAAAGGAACGAAAGATGAAACCCCATTAAGTGGCCATTTCTCTTTCTGGGGTCAGTTGTCACATTGGCAGACAGCACCTCCTGCCTATCACATAACCTTTAGGAAGTCATTTTGCAGAGAGTTTAGAGAAGCACAAAGTGTTTTTTTTTTAACTATACTGCTACTGCTGCTGCTACTGCCTGCCCTGCTTGAAGCTGCTGCAGAGCTCGCTATCCTGAAATGCACCCCCCATTCAGCAGACATTTGGATTGAGAGGAACTAGGAAAAGTGAAAACCTCTGTTGCCTCTTTTTTGGCTTTAAGTATATAATGTGTAGAATACAATACGAAATTGCTCAATGGTATTTGCAAAAGGTCTTTTGATTAACCCCCAAATACATTAGACAAAAGACAAGTTAATACTTCCAACTGTGAGTTTACACAAATTTGACATCCATCCATCTTTCCACCAAAACATCCATACAATTATTTTCCAATCAATCCATCCATTAGTCCATCCCACCAACCATCCATTTGTTTACTCATCAAGCAATCCAAACATCCAAACATCCATCCATCCATCCATCCATCAACTAACCCACCAATCCATCCATTAATCGATCCATCTACCAATCCAATGATGTCTCAACCTATCCATCCATGCATCCTCTTATTCATCAGTTTATCCATTTAGTTAATGGACAGTCGAATGTATCACAAATAAATGTCTTATAACACCAGCAAAACCTCTTTTCATACATTTTAATAAGATTGTCATGTTTTGAAAAGGTCCCACATCACATTTCCAAGTAATTGAGTTGTTTTTCAGGCTGTTTTCCCCTCATTCCTTCTTTTTCCCCTTTGATATCTGTCCCTTCGGCCTGTTGCTAGGGAACAATACAAAATCTGTTTCCAGTCTGGTGTGTTTGGATGCACAAGGAATAACAGACAGGTTTAGAGGGGGTGAATCAGGGTCACCAGCTAATGCAACCCTGTCTAAGCTGCAGGGATTTTTAATGGCAGGGGGCTGCACAGGGTTTGGAAGATGAGGCTCTTGACAGACTGAGTCGTTTGACTGCCGACCTCAACGCACTGCATTTCAATAAAGCTGCAGCTTACAACATCAGCCCCCTTGGGATTTTGTATTGTTGGAGTCAGAGAGGAAAACCAGAACAGTTTTCTGATTATCTCACTCATCAGGGCCAAGCTTTCTGCAAGAGGAAACTGCAGCACTCTCAGTCAAGGTGTTGGAGTACAAACATTCAGATCCTAAGCACCACCAGGGGGAGAAGGTAAAGGATAAACAAGGATGAGAAGATAAATATCAGTGGAGAAAGGACAATGCCAAGTTGTGCCATTTTCACATGTCAATTATCTATTTTGCATCTAAATAAGAATATAAGGAATAATGGGAATATCCTGGTGCAATGCCCCACTAAAAGGCGACCCTATGGGGCTAACAACAAACCCACAAATTGACACAATAAACATACAGCCGTAACACCAAATGTGATAATTAGATCACAAGAGGCTTTTAAACTGGAAAGACAAATATCAAAATTGTAGGCAAATGATCCAATAATATCATGTGGCTGCAAACATTAGCATGCCCAGCTAACTAGCTGATTTAGTAGCTGCATGTTATTTCCAAAAGTAAGTTCAGGTTATAAGCTGATTACATATTTATACTTTTAGGTTTCATTGTGGAGGATCTTTATGATGGGACCCAAAATGCTACAACATCAGAGATTATAGTAGCAATTGAATCCTTCTCTTTTGTAATTGGGAGGAATACTGTTTGTTCACCTCTTGTACATTCTACATTTCTTTAAACCTTATTCAGAGTAGTGATGTTCCTAACCAACATACTGTCTAGTACGTTAAACAGAAATTTAAATTCCGACTAAACAACTGGTCTTAAGTTAAGAAAAATACTCAGAAAACAGTCAAAATTTAGCAAAACCTGTTGAAGATTGTCTGCAGGTAAACAACGTTATTTGGTTTGTCGGGTGTGGCTTCATTCCCCCCTTACTGTTGTTGACTATAATTCTGGTGCCGCCTAGCGAGGGTGATGGCGTTTCATTGTATAGACCAACGCGCAATCCCTTATCCAAAGAATATGACTATTTTCTCGAAATGCAGCTAAACAGAGACACTTTTTTATTTTTACAACACGTAACCTCCAGTCCGTCATGTAAGCTAAGCAATCATCTCACGTCCCATTTACTATTTAACTCAGCACTTAAAGCTGCTGCAAACATCAAAATTACTGGGTTAATCCACAAAGATGAGTCCCTCCATCTAGACAAACTCAAACCATCAGGTCTATGACTGAGATGCCACCTGTGGCCTGCACAAGCGCTCAGAATAGAAACAAAGACAACGTTTCCACACTGAAAACAGTCAAATTCCTTTGATTGAAGTTTAAGGATTCATAACCTCACATGCCCCGGGAAACACGTTTAAAGATGAGAGGAATTTCAAACAAAGCGTGTGGCTGTCATCTAAACAAAGGACGCTTTTTTTTATTTTTTTATAAATCCCAACAGCTTGCTTTTGAAAACATCAACTTTTTGATCTGACAGCTCTCTGCAGTATGCATTTAAATAACAAAGGGGATTTTTAACCTACTTTTGAAGCCATTGAGCGCCACCCGGCTTGGATGGTAGAACCCCCTCCTGCATTGACACTTGTACTTGTCCAACACGAATCCATGGCCGACGATGGGAGTGCACTGTGAGAGAAAAACACAGAAAAAGACCTGTGAAGATTGACAAAAAGTCTGTGTTGGCTTTTTTTCCTTTTGTTTTCAACAAGAAAATCACAGGAGGTAGTGGCATGGGGGCAGAAGTGAGAAGCTGAAAAAGGAAATCACACAATTGTGAAACAACAGGATGCAGAGGGATGATCGAACAAGCTGGTGAGTCAGCAAACGCAGCTCCTCCGTGCTTCTTCACGCCAAAACTATGTGGGAGTTAAATTATAAATTATTTCTGGTGTTTGTGATTTCAGACAACAATATAAGGTAATCAGACAAGAGGGCACAAAAGAAATCTGTCAGAAATGTTCTCTAATGCTGAAAACGACAAACAATTGTAGGATGTGGATATTTACTGTAAAATTGAATTTCTGCAGGAGACGCTTCAGGCTCTGCTATTTCTGTTAATGTTACAAGCATGGTCCAAGAAATGAAAGTGCATAAAAGCAATTAAGAAAAATAAAATAGAAGTAAATTCATATATTTCACTTGATCAGAGATTGTGTTGGCCGAACCAGACTCCTTTCAGTTCGGCCTACATGTAAGAACTGTAACAGTATCATGATAAATCTACATCTGTGGCTTTCCTCACATTTACCTTGAGTTAATTTATATCCGCCTCTGATTGGTTACTAACGATATAGTGTAGCTCTTAAGCAGATACAAGCATGTGTCAATATTATGGGGCTGCATCATTCAGAGGACACATTTGAACGCAGCGCGCCAGAAGCTGCTTCATTTGGAAGGCTCCATTAAAATGTGTCCTCCTTTCCCTGTGGCCACACATCTCTAGATTGATTCTGCACCAATTGAAACTAGCTCGCAGATTCTCAAGGAGCCCAGTGATACACTTTTAAATGCTTGTCCTTGGTTTAAACTTAATCGTATAGATACCAATGCTAATGTCAAATAAATGAAAAGGGTTTGAAACTTTGAATTATCTTTAAAACAACCTGAGCTGAGTCTACGCGGTCATGAAGGGTGCATCCTTTAAAGGCTGCAACCCTTGAACTGTGGCACAGCTGAGGTGTGTTAGTGCCGAACAGTTAACAGGTAAGAGATAATAAGAAAGTTATCCATCTCGATCCTGTTTCTTCTTCTAAAACAAGAACTCAAGTTTTGATTTAGTAAAAAGAAAGAAAAAGAAAGCCAGAAAGCCAAAAACATCATGTAGAGATATACAACAATAAATACAGAATAGCGGATATAAACATGAGGTTGAAATCATGGCTGCTATCAGGACAGAAACAACACTTGTATTTTTTCCTCCAACATTCATGAATAATTTCAGCATTTCTGTCTCCACAATATGCTTCAACACGCCTCTTGAGTAAATATGAGCAGTCTCGGGTTGGAGCCTGCAAATATTTACACTTGTAGGAAAACATCGTGGAGATCTGGTAAATACACGGAGACTAAGCGTGTGAACAGTTTACAGACAGAGCATGTGTAACATTCATAATGCAAAAGGCTGAAGACGCAACGATCAGTGAAATCAAATAATTAGAATATTAAACATAAAGTCACTCTGTTTTCACTCTCTATTGACATTGCGCTCCTCAATGCCCTGATCCTGCTTCTATGTTGTTCAGTCTCTTCTTCATCGTCTACACGTGTGCAGCAGCAGACGCTCCACTTATAAGCATGCCTGTGTCAGGGGAAATCACACAGTGTTGCCAAGTAACGGGGAAACTAATTAATATCTAAATTAAGAGATGTTTTCAGGATTTGAGTGCTTCTGTATAAATCGAGCCTGCATTGATGACAGTGGGAGCCAAATGGGCTTACCGACCATCTGGAGGGAGAACACACTCTGTACTGCAGCTTCATGGACACCCCTGTGCTAAAATAAAGCAACACATCCGACATGAACATTCATAAATAGTGCATTACTTTGCATGCTGACAGTAAAGACAGTAAATCTCCTCTGGGATGCCGACTGTGGAGAGAAGCTGGACTATATTTATACCTCATAAATCAATGAATGTCACAAATAGTCTTTTTATTTACTGATAATTGAAGCAACGCCCGTGTTTGACATTTATGTTTTGCTCCTCCAGAGAATAATGAGTTCATTTTTACCTATGTGCCTGCAGAGTTATTATTGGCCAACATAAGAGCATGAATGAGAGGTAAACAAAAGCTCAAGATAATATTCAAATATGCCATTCATAGAGAGCGTAGTGTACTAGTCCTACAATAACAGCATGACATAATACTTGGGCCTGTGATTAAAATAACATTTTAGATCGTTTTAGCAGCGGCTAACATATATTAAACAATTAATCAAATAATGAACCAAGAGTAGATACCAACCGACCTGTCAGTGAGTACAGGTAAGAAAACCTCACCCCGTTGTTAAGGGTTTGCATGTCACTAAGAAAACTTCTCTTCCAATGCCAAACAATTAAAATCATTTTCTTCACATAGTCCTTTATTTCTCATGTGAATTAATTGTAAGCTACCAGTAGCTAACAATCTACAACCAGTTGTGCTCCGCCCACAAAACACATTTGCAGAGTGTGAGGAATAAAGGGAAACAATAACAGTTCTCCTGACAGAAGATATTAGCTTTTTACATGAAAGCTGACCTCTTAGCCTGTAGTCACAATTTAGCTAAAATTAGCAACTTTTTTTGCCAGAAGATACAATGGTCTTTTTTTTCATTAACTGAAGGATTGTATAAATGTTATTCAACAAACAATTGACATCCTGTATTGTTTTTACCTAAGTGCAATTCATAGGCTGTTGTGATTTTTTATTACATAGCTGTTATAAATAACGTGTGAATTTTAACATGAGAGGGTCACATGGTCACCTCACTGAATTCTGAGCAGGAAAGCCATTATCGCTAACAACGCTAAAAGTTTTGTCTAAAGTGCAAGTTGACACATGCAAGAAAATAACACGACAGTGTTTATCAGAAAAAAAGCGTCATTATTTTAATCATAGTGATTAAAGCAGGAGTGGTGAGGAGATGACATGAATTAAAGGACATTTTCATCAGGGTTCTCAGTCTGACTTGAACGGCCCCTGCAAAACTCAAATAAAGAACGGATATTTTGCAGTTTATTCCCTGCAGAGCTTTGCTTTGATGTTAATTCAATTTACATATAAAAGGGACGGTAGCTTTGAATCTGAAATACATCAATTTAATGTAAAACATGTCTGAGTTTGGTACTTCAGTCGTCTTTCACCACATGTCATTTTTGTTCAAATATGTGTATTGTGTTTTTATTTTTGGTAAGGGGAAGGCTTCCACACGGGAAAGCTTGCTGCTTTTCTGCTCAGATCTGTTGTTTTTTCAAAGCTGACAAACGGCCCCAAGTCTCTGAACTGGGAGGCTGCAGCAGGAGTGATGGGCTGAGGAGGGTTTAAACATCTGAACTGGAGTAACAAAACAGTTTGACAGAATAAACAGACACAGCGGATCATTGCTCCACTGTTGCACCAGTAAAGACATTAAAGACCGGGAGCTGTGATGCATGTTTTCACTTTGTGGAAAAAAAGGGAAAAAAATAAGCTTTCCAGATTAAGGATTCCTCTCGTGTTTTTGTTGTTTTTGATGTGGTTTTAAATTTTAAAGTGTAAAGGTTTCAAATGTGTCACATATCATGCAAAATACACTTTGCCATGCTTGGTTTTCTAACACTCATATGTGTCCCTAGTCTGTCTAAATACCCTCCAATGCTGAGAGAAGTCCATCCTTTCATCTTTCGCCTGCTCCTCTTTTCAGAAAATGTGTGCTCAAACAGGCCATTTGGAGATTCTCCCTTCATGACATCACAAAGGGCAGTAACCCCTCCCCCAGGTGGGTGACACTACCAAAGCTAGATGTTTGTTCTGCCCTCTGAGTCTGTCTTCTCATCGTAAACAATCAGGCATGGTGACGCAAAAGCCTGAGTCACCCAAGCCCTCCCAGAGAGGGTCAGACACAGCTCATTTACATTTAAAGGTACAGACACAGAAACAGCCTGTTCTGAGCAGGGCTGAAATAGAGAGTTTATAGGCGTGATCAAATACAGGATCAGAGTGGATTTTTAAAGAGAAACTTCACCGACATGTTTTGAGGAACTCTGAAACTTATTTAAACTTGTTTAAAATTAGGATAATTTGTGACCTTTAAACAAAAGAACAGCCACGAAAAAGAGCAAACACATGAAAGTGATGTATAAGTCCTGTGCTAAATATCAGTGACAATCTGTTTGATTAGGCAGTTTTTGTATCAGAAGTGAAAACTCTTATAGAACATTTCTGCTTGTTTATTTGCTATTAGAAATAATCAGAATCCATAGATGATGACCTTCAAAAGGGATATATGTAATTATAACTTTAATTGTCCCTGATGTTTAACATTCCCGTGAAGCCATTATGAAGCTGAAGTACTATGTTTCTGTTTACGAGAGTTTGATTAAAAACCACAGACCAAGCATGTGTGAAAAAGGTTTTAAAACTGTAAAAGCACCAAGACAAATCAGCAAAATGAATCTCTCATATGAGTCACTACAGACCAAGCTTAAGGTCTCTGTGAGGCTCTGCTAAGGCTAACACTCTGAGCAAATTTTCAAGATGCTCACAATGACAAAGCTAACATCGTGTTGACGTTAAGTCAGTAATAACATGTTTGACATAATACTAGTTTAGCATAACAGCCTGCTAATGTTTGCTAATCGGCACTAAACAAAAGAGTCGACGTTGTGCATCATACACGAAAGTTTATCATTAAAGTCAGTTTTCAACCCCTGAGGAGATCAAACGTCAGAAAAATCATTTCAATTGATGAATATCTGTAACTGAACCAACAACAGAACATTTTCTACTCGTTTTCCAGGGTTGTACGTTTTCCATGTGTGTCCTCTTAACGTGGCATATTAAATTTACTTTTCAAAAGGGTTTGAGGTTTGCAGTTTTGTTTATATTTCCTTTGGTCAAATGTTCAATATTAACAGAATGTAACATTCCTTTTAAACTAAGGC